ATGTTACGTACATTATTAACATTACAGAATCCACATATTCCTGCCAGTTTTAATATGTATTTTGTAATCAACAAGTGTGTAACACCGGTCAAAGTTTCACACTTCTCTGGCCATTATCTCCGTAACCGTTCAACTTTGGACATAGGTGTTTTGGGTTATATCGGCATACTTTAACATAAGGAACACCCTCCCGAAGTTTGGTCCATTCCTCCTGGGACACCCTGTATACAACTGCAAAACAATAAAAGGTCTCACCCAGATAAGATTCAACCCTATGGTTATCTGCCCACCACCATAGTGCTAGAATGCATAATCAAAATTGCATGTTATTGGCTGAATGCAGACTTTCCATACAGCATTCACATCACAAGATTTTTACAACTAAAGTCTATGCAATATGAAAGTACTTATCATTATCACTTAATGTGGCAAAGACTGCAGCTAAACCTGTTCTGTTCCAGGTTTATTGGTGAGGAGTCTACTGCTGCAGGAGTGAAATGTGAACTTACTGATGATCCAACATGGATCATAGATCCTGTAGATGGCACCATGAATTTTGTGCATGGCTACCCTAATGTCTGTGTGTCAGTAGCCTTGTGGGTGAATAAAGTTGCACAGATTGGCATTATATATAATCCAATTTTAGATTTATTCTTCTCAGCACGCCAAGGACAAGGAGCATTCCTAAATGGAAAACCAATACATGTATCACATGAAAATGGTTAGATAATAGGTTCTTAACCATAAGTTATGTGAATTAAATGCTTGAAGGAGGGTTTCTGTACCAAAAGTTTACAAGATTGATTAAGAATGTAATCTGTAAATTACTGTGTTACTTTGACTTTTGGAGCAGCTTGTGTCAGCTATTTGTGGCACAGCTGCAAAAGCAAAACTATACTTTTAAGTTCAAGCTGCAGAAATCTAAGGGCCAGAATTATGTGATTTATTATATATGTATCTTTAATTTCCATATTTCAATGGTAGAGTAAATTATAAATTTCTGGTTCTTTCTGTCCATTATTTGACCACAGAGAGTTGAAACCAAATTCAAGGTACACTGCAGCATACAAAGTATGATCAAAATACTGCAGTGGTGACTGTTACTGGGGTGTAATGTTATGTAGTCTGGCCCAGTGATGTTTTGGAAGAACCTGCCATTGCCGGTTGTTGCTTGGCATACTCAACCTCAAAGCCAGAGGTGATGCGTTCCTCTGAAATTTAACTGCACTTCTACTGAAACACACAGTATTATAAATTTTCTTCAAAATATTTCAAGACCGGATTATTTTCAAGTAACGTATTTAGTGGCTATTACATGTCCCCTTGTGAGATTATGTGTACACTGTGGTTCTTCTTTGATCATGATATCAAATCTCTCTTCTGTGAGTACTAACTTAAAATCTGAAACAGATTTTCTCTATAGTGTTTAAGCTTTTAGCCCGATAATTTGACATCATCACGCAGCACTATTATGTTCCGTATTCAAGGCACCGTTTTCCTTTCTAGAGTTATCAAAGTCCCTGATAGGATACGAATTTGGAACAAGTCGTGATACAGAGAAAATGAAAGTGGTAATGGGAAACATGAACATTCTTACACCAGTTGTTCACGGGTAAGTTTGAATGAATGCATAACACACACAAAGCACACAGAAATATTATGAATCTACTCTGTACTCTTGCTAGTATGTACATAGCCATAATACTGAAAAGTACTGCAGTAGAATTTTTGGATGACATTCATATTCTTATTTCCTTAAATTTTCTACTAGTATATGTTATTATAATGAGACTGAAAGCAAACATATTCTAGGTGAATAGTAGTATTTCTACTTGTATAGCATGACAGGTATGGATATTTTTTCCATTAGAAAATATATTTTTCATATAACTCTCAATACATACAGCAGTTTTCATTTATTAATGTAGCAGATTCAATATTAATTTAATTTTCTGATGTGCATTTTGCACTCAGAGTTCGTTCCACAGGCTCCTGTGCACAGAACATGGCAATGGTTGCCCTAGGAGGTACAAATGCAAACTTTGAATTTGGAATTCATGCTTGGGATATAGCAGCTGGATGTCTCATAGTAACTGAAGCTGGGGGTGTAGTGATTGATCCTGCAGGTGAGAAATATAAATTTCATTACACAAATAAAAGGACTGGCCATCAGGTTATTAATGCAGTTTTTAGATACTGGCCTCTCACTAGCAGCCATCTTTATCAAATTGTACATCAGGCATGATGGTAAAACTCCACATATTTTAAACCCCAGACCTAGAAAGAGGTCATTACCAGCCAAAGGGATGATTAGATTTCAGCTAAAAATGGTGATGGTAAGACAAAGACCATTTTGGAACTGTAGAGTAGGTCAGTATGACATAACCCTTCAAGGCTTATATGATATAAAACACATCTTACTTTTGTGAATCTGTGCTTTAAAACCACATACTCTACACATCTGATCACTTCACTTGATTTTAATATGGAAATCAATTATGTCACAGGTGGACCTTTTGATGTGCTGAGTCGCCGCTATTTATGTGCCTGTTCACAAGATATAGCTGACCAGTTAGTGAAAATCATCAAGCAGTATTATCCAGAAAGGGACTAAAGTTGTTCCATATTTACCTTTTGTTAACTTAGAATGGCTATGAACAGGCAATCACATGTAACAAATACATAGCATTAAAATATATTACTAGAAAATGTATCTGTGAAAGGCATTAAAATTAATTTCTTAGTATAATTGTAACTGGAATGCCAGAGCATATTTTTGCATAGATCCAGGCCAAGTAATTCAGAAACTTCCAAGTTAAAGGTATGGTTTTTCTTTTATAAGGAGCATCATTCTTTCCATAAAGTTTATTCAGAATTAATTATATTTCAGTAAACTATCCAGTTATCCCAAAAGAGAATGTGACCTGTCATATATAGTACTGCAGTGCAGGTAAAATTGTGTGTGGTTAGCCTGAAATGTTCCTTAATGGTTTTCAGAATTAAGAGTTCACATTAATATCAAGGTAAATTCCACAGAAACAAATTTCGAATTCGTTTTGCAAGCCATTTATATTTTCACAGCTTGTGACAGTGGTGTAAGTTAAGTAAGTAAAAAAGTAAAGTTGTCCCTGTGCTTAACTAATTAAGCACTATGCCATGAAGACACGTGGGGGAGTGAATGCATAGATCCAAATTTTCTTGACCTCAGCATTAGTTGGAGGTAAGTAGTCAGCTTCACACCCCGGCCACTTTACCCCCTGGGAAAGAGCCCCCAGTACCCATTGTATAGGAAGCTGGGTGGACCCCAGGGGCAGTATGGATAATATGGAGAAGAGAAAATTCCTGATCCTACTGGGACTTTCAAGTCATTCAGCCTTTAGCCAGTCGCTATACAGACTGTGCTATCCTAGCTCTGACAATAGTATAATCCTTTCTTTAAATCTACCTATTATTATTATTATTAGAGGGGGTGGGTTTCCCCATGCACTTAGACCAGTTATTGGTCCATTGTGTGCCCCCCTTTAATTTCTACTGTCGCCATACCCTACCGGTACTGGTGCATGCTATCAGCCCCATTCAGCCAACGAGGTCGGCCCGGTACCTTATATTTCCCCCATGGCTTAAAGTCCCTCCTGGAGGATTTGTTCCCTGAATTTTTCCGCCCTTAAAAATTCCACGACCTCCGCTGGGTTTGAACCCGCGTACCTTGAGTCATGAGGTGGGAACATTACCCCTAGACTACGGAGGCCGATTTAAATCTACCTAATATTACCAATCTTATTCAGTATTAGTGCAGCAATGAACATCATGGTGGAGTGGGCAGCATGCCCTTTTTGTATTTGGCAAGTACTGGGTACAGATCTTTGTCTGGTTACTGGCTATCTTGACAGGTCTTTTTTCATAATTTCCCTCAGCCCCTCCAGGCATAACTTTTCAATCTATTAGCCATTAATGTATCATCTGATGGTATATGGACAGGGCTACTGATGGTGTCATTAAGTAAACCATGAGCAAACAAGATAATTTTGTTTGCTGTACCACAGTGCCCTCGAGTTCCTCTTACTCACATTTACATGTAAATAAACTCTGAACTGAACAAGCATAATATCGAACTCTGTTCTGTTAACAGCATAAATACAGGCAGTCTGACTGGATAGCAATTCTTTAGTTTATATGAGGTTGTTTCAAAGTGAAGTAAACACTTTCCAAAATCGTATAAATTAAATTATCCACATAATGTTCACGTAACATATAAATCTCTCCAAATTTCTTGCACACTATAGTCAATGTGGGTTCCATGGGTTATATGACAGATGTAAATTCGATTACTCCATTCCTCCTGGTTTTATTGGTGATACCAGGTTGACAAATTTCCTTGCAGATGCACGATTTAATTCCTTAAATTAAGTATAAATTGACTTTCACTGTGGTAAATCTTTCTGGTAACATGTATTAAATTCCTGCTGCACACTTGGAAGAGATTTTATCTTTACACAATGAACACAGAATGCCTTCTCCTCTGTAGACATCATTATTGCACCGCGTCTCTAGTGGATACAAAAAGGGTGTCTGCTACGTACTGGTATATGTCATATACTTGTGAAATGAATATTTTATTATCAGTATTTTAAAGTGTCTACTTCATTTTCAAATATCTTGTAAAATAATTTTATACACCCAGAAAGCAGTTTAAATTTCAAAGTACAAATGTTTTGTCTGTACATGGTTAAGCAGGCTTATCTTGATTACTACTAAAAAAAAGATCAATCTTTATTGTACCGAATGCTTTCCTCTTTAAATCATTTAAACTTACTGTTTATGCATTTTAATATTCTTTATGCCATGTTGTTATATTTATGTAATACTACTGTGACACTAGTATTGTACTAATCTCAAGACATGAGAGATGAAAATGAATCAATCTGTTGTTAGAAAATAAAATTATATTTCAGCGAATGATGTTATATTATATTGCAGAGAGAAGAAAAAGTTTATGAAGAAATTCCTCATTTCTGCTTTCTGTCATACTACTTAACACTACTGTTACTCTGTTTTGTGTTGTGTGATGTACATATCAATTTGGATAAGTGAATATTTTCAAATTGTGCTCTATGCAGAAACTGTTGAGTCAGAGAGGCCTCGGGGCACGTGTACAATGTGAGAGTTGCACATTGTATTGGCGTGTTGCTGGGCAACAACTCTGTGAACGCTTGGATTGCGCAACAGGCAGTGCAAGTGACGTCACATACCTCACTCGTCCCGTAATTTCACAACACTCAGTAAACACCCCCCACCCCACGGTGACATAACAGGGGACACCACTGTTACCACAGGGCAACAGGGAACAGTATAAGAGGCTGGCTGAGTGGTGTGTGAGCCAGTGCAGATTGTGAAGCCTTCAAAGAGATGAGGTGAAGTTCAGCAGCCACGAGTTGAGTTGTATCGAATGAATGGAAGTGACTACAGCAGAAGTAATTGTGATACTGCAGATGGCAGTAGTTGTGAAACTGTAAATTGTGTAAGTGTAAGAGCGAGTGTGAAATAATTTGCCAAGATCCAAAACAACGTGAAGTTATTTGTTGCGTCACATACCTAACACGCAACAATATTTATAATATTTCATATTACTGATAACGGATCAAAATTTATTGTCTTCTGGTTTGTGATGCTGTGCACTGTCAAGGGCCAAATGGCATACGCTTGTGAACATAATAATCCACCTTCACATTCCAAGCACACAGAGGAGCTTCTTGACTAGCCAAAGAAACACTGTCATGTTAAGGACTCTGTTGAATTAATTACTACTTATTCAAACTCCTCTCTGTTATGGAATCCACAGGTAAGCAAATGAACCACATACTTGGAATAACTGAAGAAAACAAACTGTTTCAAGAAAACTGCTTTTTATTCTGTAAATAGAATTATAACAAAATATCAGTTGAAGGCACTGTAAATCTTCATAACGCTGCTTCCAGCAGAGAACTGTAACACTCAAAACATTAAATCAATTATAAACCTGATGAGCTGCAAGCAATCCTAAGCACCAAGAACACAGATATTTGTCTGATGTCCGAAACCCATTTTACTAGAGAATCTCACATTAAGGTTCTAAATTACATAACATATCATACCACTCACCCTGCTAATACGGCTTGCGGTGGAAGTACCATTATAATTCGAGACAATATAAAACACTACCAAGAAGAAAAGTGCGCTACCAGTGATATCCAAGTAACATCTGTAACAATAGCGACAACAAAACACTCACCGTAAGTGCAATATACTGCCCGCCACGTTATAATATTTATGCAGACCAGTGCCTAGAACTCTTCCGGAAACTAAATGGTCGATTCGTCATTGGAGGTGATTTCAAGGCAAAACATACACAGTGGGGATCTAGACCAACCACACCAAAAGGGCACCAACTGGACCAAGCTGCCATGGACTACAGATGTGAGTTCATATCTACTGGAAAGCCCACATACTGGCCAACCGACCTGATCTGATTGACTTTATTGCCATTAAAAACGTCTCAGCAAACTACATCAGAATTGATGAGGGATACGATCTGAGTTCTGACCACTCACCAGTTCTACTATCAATCAGTGAACATATTATAACAAAAGACCAGAACCCTGTCCTGATAAACAAGCGCACAGACTGGGACTACCTTAACTTCCTTCTGGAAAACAATATTAACTTGAGGGCTCCACTCAAAACAATTCGCCAATTAGAAGATGAAGTGAAAAACTTTACTATAGCCATCCAGGACGCAGCATGGAAAAGCACACCCACCATGAAAAAAAGCTCAAGGGACTTGAACTACACAAAAGAGATCAGGGACGTGATTGCTGAAAAATGAAAACTAAGAAGGCGCTGGCATCAAACACGGACGCCACAGGATAAAAGCAACCTAAACAGGATTACGCAACAACTAACGAAAGAGATCAGAGCACTGAAAAACTCTTCAACCAGCAAATTTCTTACTGATCTGATCCATATATCATAGCATGGAATATTCTCTGTGGAAAGGAACGAAGTACCTCAAACACCGTATCACACAGGTAACCCCAATCCGAAAACCTGATGGACAGTGGGCCCGCAATAACAACGCTAAAGTAGAAATGTTTGCGGAACACCTCAAAAGTAGGTTCCTGCCTAACCCAGGACCAGACGAACTGCCTGAATTCGACCCAAACGACTATGAGGACGCAATCCCGCTAGTCACACCAAAAGAAGTAGCTGAAGAAATTCATACAAACCTCAACCCGAAGAAAGCCCCTGGCTTTGATATGACGACAGGTACAGTAATTAAAAAACTTCAAAGAAAAGCCTTAGTAAAACGAACCACACTAATCAATGCCTCAATCAGACAAAAGCACGTACCAGCATCTTAGAAAGTGTCAGAAATAATTATGATACCAAAACCTGGCAAAAACCACACTGAAGTAGAATGATACTGGCCAATTGCATTGCTATCGATTATGTTGAAGCTGTTTGAAAAACTGATCCTGAAACGTCTCAAACCAATCATTGAAAAATCCCATCCCACCAGTTTGGGTTTCACAGTAAGCACTCAACTATTGACCAGGTGCACAGCATAACTGATGTCATAGAAAAATCTCTTGAAGATAAAAAAAAGTATGCTCGACAATATTTCTGGACACAGCACAAGCATTTGATTGAGTATGGCATGATGGCCTGATGCATAAACTAAAATCGATTCTTCCTGATTCGTACTATCAACTCCTCAAATCATACCTAAAGGAGCGAAACTTTCGCACCAAACACAAAGATACGTATTCATAATTAAAAGAAATTCGAGACGGTGTACCCCAGGGAAGTGTTCTGGCACCGGTCCTCTATTTACTTTATATCAATGACGCACCACAAACGCCGAACTGCAAGATTGCCACATTTGCGGACGACACCGCAGTGATGGCGACAGGAAACACACTCAAGGAATCAACAACAAAACTGCAATGAGCAGCTGATAATATCGCCACCTGGACACGTAGATGGCGTATCAAGCTCAATGAAACCAAATCTACGTAACTTCACCAACCAAAAGATTAATCAGCGATCGATCTCACTAAATGGAGTAAGAATACCACCTGCCAACACAGCAAAGTACCTCAGAATGACACTTGACGCCAAACTCCGATGGAAGGAGCACATTAAGAAGAAGCAAGCGGAACTGCAAATCAAATTTAAAAAAAATGTACTGGCTGATCGGACGTCGATCAGAACTGTCAATGTGCAACAAGCTGCTCCTGTATAAACAAATGCTGTGACCAGTCTGGACATATGGCGTCCAACTATGGGGATGTATGAAAAAACACAACATCGAAATAATCCAGCGATACCAGAACAAAGTACTAAGACGCATAGCAGATGCGCCCTGGTATGTACACAACAGGGACCTCCATAGAGACCTCGGTGTCGAAACAGTCACATCCATTATTGCAAGATACGCCACCTCACACAAAAACTGACTTCGACAACACATCAATGAAGAAGCGTCCAGGCTCCTAAATGTGGGAAACCTAACCAGGCGACTCAAACGGACCAAATCTTACGAACTAGTCAAGCAGCCCGACAGCTAAGGGATCCGATGGGCGAACTTAATTTCACATAATCTTAGTAATTTAGTGTCAAATTAAAACAGACTGTTAGTTCAAGCGAACCAGTCTTTGGAACATTTTGCTTACATCTTGTAGCAGCCAATAAAAAAAAAATTATAAACACTTCAATAAGGGGGGGGGGGAACAGGTGGACACAACTGCCAGTGCATGCACACATACCCGCATAACCATTAATGATCCTAAACATGTAGGATTGCCACATATTACATGTTTTATTTTCTCACCTTACTGGGGTTCCTGTAAGAACAAGATTTCACAAGAGTAGCTACTCTCTCTCTTAATGCTGATAAGCCACAACGTTCTTTCTTGTTCTCCCCAGGATACTAATATAACGGTTGTTATTGGTTACAGAAGTACAGTTTCTAAAATACAAATAACTGAAGTTGCATAAACAGTTCACGTGAAAAACAGAAATTAATATTCATCAGAAGTAATCTCTCATAAGCAAAAAAATGAACTGTCACAGCCTTTCATCGGCACCACCAGAATTCTTTCATTGAGGGGAGACCCAGCCAGAAAGTTGGCTTAAAAGCTAAGGTTTAGGCTGCTTATGGCCGTTTTCTCCCTTCATCCTGCAGTATTAGGAAGAGAATACATTTTTTAAAATATTTATAGTTCTCGATATTATCCCCCCCACTTCTATTAAAAAATTCGGATGACTGGCTTGTCCACCTGTCTCCAAATTTCTTGGATTTGTTTTTACTTTGCATTTTTTAAGCATTGAGTTATAATAGAACTAGAAAATTAGAGCAGAACTTGTAAAATAAATTAATCTAAACAGTCTAGGGCAACTTACTTTTTGAACATTTAAAGATTCACAAATGTTCCGTATCAGAAATACATCAGGGTTGTTCAAGTGAAATGACGGGATTTTTCTGGGTGAAGATGTCACTGCTATTAAAATGGTTCCCATCAGTGCTGAGGGAGGCATCCGATTGACACACCAATTAGTGGATCAATTCCCTCCACAATGAACTCCCAGTTCTGCTGTTGAAATCACCGTACCACTGTGGCCTTGTTATTTTTGCATCACCTGAATCTTGGCTCTTCAACCCACCTTCTTCAGGCAGTGTAACATACAAATGGGATTTATTTGAACAACCCTGACACTAATAAATGTTTTTTACATTTCCATATCTCTTTACCAGGTGAAGCTTTTACAATAAACTATGACTCATGTCATTAAGTAGAATAATTAACTTAACCATGACAGAAACAATCAGTCAAGTTAAAATCCAGAACCAATTAACAGAATGCTTTAAGACAAATCAAGGGTTAAAACAGGGAGATAGTTTGGCACCATCACTATTTAATTTGGTATTGGAATATATAGTGAGGAAATGTAATGTAGACACAAGGAACACAATAGCTTATAAACAAACGCAAATAATGGCGTATGCGGATTATATTATTATGGTATCGAGATCCCTAAGAGCAATGAAGGAGACACACAAAGAAATAAAAACCACAGCAAAAACAACTGGCTTAGAGGTGAATGTAAATAAAACTAAACTGCTGATACAATCTAGAAGGAATCCAAGGCAAACTAGAGAAATTAACATGGAAGGGGACGGGATAGAAATAGTTGAAGACTTCATTTATCTAGGATCGAAATTCCACAAAGATGGAGAGGAAAATCATGAAATAACAAGAAGAATAAAACTAGCGAATAATGCATATTTCTTGTTACTATCAGATATTAGATCGAAGGATATACACCGATCGATTAAAACAAAAATATATAAAACAATGATAAGACTGGTGCTTTATTATGGATGTGAGGGTTTGACGCTAAACAAGAAAGAGGAATCGGTCATCAATTCATTCAAGAGGAAAATCCTAAGACGAATTTATGGACCAATAAAAGAGAATGGGATATGGAGAATAAGATATAATAAAGAGTTATACAAATTATATAAGGAGCCAGAGATCTCAGTGACGATAAAGCTTAAAAGATTGCAATGGGCTGGGCATGTACAGAGAATGGATGAGGAGTGTATCCCAAAGAAAACATTATATAGTACAACAGGCAGCAGGAGACGTGCTGTGAAACCAAGAACTAGATGGACTGGTGCAGCGGAAGATGCGAAGAAGTGAATGGGTGTAAGGAAAAGGAAGAGAGCAGCGCAAGGCAGAGAGGAATGGAGGGGCTTGGTAAGGGAGGTCAAGGCCCGACATCGGGCTGTTGTGCCATAGAAGAAGAATTGTCATGTCAATCAGATATCATATAAAACTGTTCTCTGGAGGAAATAGGGCAGGTTCACTATCAGGATATCTACCTTCATTTATCAGTGGAGAATGAACCAAGTGCTGAAGTCAGTTCCAATATATGGTACCACTATTCTCACACCTAAGGTCTGAAGTTCTCACAGGGGGAAGTATCAAGATTATGGTCTTCTTAGATGTAACATTAAGTAGTTAGACAGGTACTAACGTTTTGGAAGAACCCTGGTACCTGTCTCCATGGCATCACATCTCAGAAGACCATATGCTGATTCTCAAACATGTCCACTAGAAACATGAAATGCTGCTACACAAGCCTGGAACACTTGCTATGGAGCAGCTTTCTAGAGTACAGCTGGAAGAAAATAGCACTACAGAAATATTTTCTACTTCCCATCACAGCACACATCATGCGTACAGGGCACACACTAGATTCATTAGAATAATTATTGCAAACATGATACTAATGAACACCTTAAGACTTCTCATTGTCAATCAAAATCAATGCTCCACATTTTGGTGTTCTGGGTTTAACACCATAAAGTACTTGAAGAACATGGCTGTCTCCATCTTAACTGAATGTTCTTACGATATCTTTATGCTATACAGACAAGTGGCAAAAAAGGGGAAAGTGGAGAGGGGTTACTCAGAGCAAAGGGAGAGAAAAAGGAGATACAGACTGGTCATAACCCAGAAGACCAAATATGAACACTTACTGCTGTAATAACCTGAAAACTCACATAAAAAAATCTGTGGTCATTTATGACCCTGGCATGAATATGAAACAGTAAGTCACCAACCTTACCTGTTTCCTTCACACTTACCTGACTTATGTAAAAAAAATGCCAATAAAATAAGAGGGGAAAGAAAATAAATTGAAAATGAAAATAAAAGATGCTGACAGAAGTATACCTTGAAAATGCTATTCCACTGTTGCCAAATAGTCCAAATTGATTTTCAAAGCATCTCCATTAGGAAGAGCCCGTTTTGCTAGAAAAGAAAGTGCAAATTAGGCCGTACCCTTGCACACAAGCATGAACACTACAAATCCTAATGTTCACCCAGTCTTAAGTATATGACTACAATTTTATCTAAAACGCAAGTGCACTACAACAACGGCAAAGTGTCTGTTTTTAAATGGAAATATTTTGGCATGTCATGAGCAAAAAGACAGGAATATTTCCTTTGTATTGGTGGTCTCGCAGAAAAAAAAAAGCACAGACATACAATTAAGAGAATGTAAAATTCCATAATATAAACCTCTGGGCTTTCAGTTAAATTAGCTGCTGCAGACATAAGCAGGTATGGAAACCAGGAGAAAACGAAGTAAAATAATGTGTAAACAAAACCATTCTCCACATAAGATGGGCAATTCAGTTTTCACTTTTAAATGTGCAATATTTACTTCCTTTGACAGAAATGTATTTTGCTTGCCTGGGGCAAATATATAATGCTTGAAATAAGAGAGTGAACAGTTCTCAAAATTTCTAATGAATAGTTTTCACAGAAAGACACAAATGAACTAGGATACACCTGTTACTTTAATTATTCAAAATCACTGTAGTGTCTTCCAGTACTTTTCTCAAACATCCCAAAAGTTCATAATGTGATATTAACTTCAAATTTTTTTGTTATTCATGTCTATCTTTACAAATATACCAGTTCTCCACAGTACCATCGACACATGCCTTATCTTTACTAAACACATTAGAAATCTGCCAGATGACCTGTACAGCCTGGAAATATAAATTATATATTGCAAGATTACATGCAGGATTCTCGAAGAATACAAAACATTATAAAGCATTGCTGTCTTTTCCACCTTGTGATACATAACCACAGAAATCACAGACATAATTACTTTTCATAGAGCTAAGGGACAAATTCAAAAGCTATGCAGTACCCTTCCAGTCTGTATCAGCAATACCTTTAAACAGCAATTGCAACATCTGGGCTGACGTAACAGCACACTCAGCCATGAGAAGACATGGGCATAGCTGCTCCGTCTGTACTCTGGAACAAGAATTGCCATAGTAACAATTTCATGCCACTTCTCCGCTATTAACATTGGTGTTTAGGGCTCGGAAATGCTCAGGAACTGATATATCAGGTGGTTAAATCAGAAATGTTACAAAAAGTGAGAACTGTAGGTAAAGGTTCAGAATAGGTCTCCTAAAGGCAACTTTGCCTCAGTAAGTGTTGTATTTCTAGGTACTTGATGAATGTGATGTACACTCAACTCTCGATTATCCAGGGGCGGATAAACCGGTTTGCGGCTTAACTGGGGCTTTTTTTTGAGGCTTATATGTTGTTTAATATTCATTCACTTTTGTTTCATATGGTGAGTTATAACACTATTTTCGCATTAGTGTGAACCGAGCTCTGCATTTTTTGGCCCCGTTATGCTAACACAGTGTTCTAGGGTAGGGGTGAAAGAATGCAAGGATTTGTGGAAAGTTTCAAGGACAGATACACCGCCCCAGTTAGTCTCTTTGTATCGATCTTCAAGTGTGTTAGCAAAATGTCAGGGTGTAAAAGGAAGCGTGTTGTGTTAAGTATTCAACAGAAACTTGAAATTATCCATCAGTTTGGAAAAAGAGGTGTAGTTAAACAATTAGCAATGCAATATGGTATTGGAGAACAAACTGTTCGTAATTTGAAAAAACAAAAGAATCAATTAATTTCCTTTGCTTCGTTTTCTAATTCAAGCGGAATGAAGAAGAGTAAAACCATGAAAAAATCAACATATGATCTCGACAAAGCAATGCTGATCTGGTTTAATCAACTAAGGGCACAGGGAACAACAATAACAGGAGCAGTTTCTGCTAAACAAGCAAAATTTTTTTCCGAAGCACTTGAACTATAAGGAAGTTATGACGCTTCTTCCGGTTGGCTAACGCGTTTCAAGCAGCATCATGGAATATGAGAAATTTGTATTCAAGGTGAGAAATTGTCAGGGGACTTATCATCAGTTCAACTTTGCACTAATTTTGATAGTTTCGTGAAAAGTGAAAATCTGCTGCCAGAACAAATCTATAATGCCGATGAAACGGGTCTTTATTGGAAATGCTTGCCAACCAGAACTTTGTCATTTCAAAATGAAAGACAGGCTCCAGGTCACAAATCCAGTAAGGAGAGATTGACAGTCTTGTGCTGTTCTGATGCATCAGGAACACACAAACTAACACCAGTAGTTATCAGCAAAGCAAAAAGACCACGCTCTTTAAAGGAACAGTAGCTTCAATATTATATTTAAGCATCCTGTTACACTCTACACAATATATGAGAACATGTATTAAAGATAAGCAGCGGCACACACACAGGGAGTCTACACAGAATAATACCTGAACAGTTCTGAAAACAAGAAGTAGCCGCTGCAGCACTATAGACATAGGGCGGGTAACTCTGAGAATTTTAAATTTTAAAGAAATTTTTAAAATTGGAATTGAAGATTTTAAAAGTGCCAGTTTATGAAAATCAAAGTGATGTGTGTAGGTTAATAACGATTTTGTACATATCTGACAGATATCAGCGGGGAAGATTCCAATATATCAAAACCTGATAGCAACGGCGAAATGAACAATTGGGAAGACTAGTGTTTTTTAAATTTTAAACTACGTGCAGTGTAGCAGCTACGTGAGTGTATACACCTGATGATGGCCGTTTGCGGCCGAAACATGTAGTGTAGAAGAAAGCAAGATGAAAGAACTACAATAAATTGTTGCACTTAGGAAGGAGTTTATGTCATATATTGGGTAGCTTCAAGTCTGCCTATCCATTATTTTAAATAGAAAGGAGCTTGTATGAATAGAGAGATATTTAAAGAATGGTTTGATTTTAAATTTGTGCCTCAAGTTCGTGACCATCTGAGAAAGCTGTGCTCCTCATTGGCAATGCACCCTCACATCGTAACAAAAGTCTCCTGAGGACAGATGATGGAAATATTTTTGTGAAATATTTTCTTCCTAATGTTACCGCACTTATCCAACCAACGGATCAAGGAGTTATTATTTCAAGTATGAAGAGAATCTACAGATCAAATTTGCTACAAAAGTACATCGATGAAGGCAATGATCTGACGTGTTTCTGGAAGTCTTTTTCAATGTTAGATACCATATACAAGATTTAAACAGCGTGGTAAACAGTAAAGCCATCTGTATTGAAAAATTCATGGAAGAAACTGATGTCTTTCATCAATAATGAAGATGACGAAATCCATGGATTCACTGGATTCAGTGAAAATGAGATAGCCATAGAATTGACAAAATTAGCTAAGCAAGTTCATGGTGGTGAAGAAGTCAACGAGGAAAATATAAGAGAGTGGTTTGACTGTGACTCATGTGAGCCAGGCTTCGAAATGTTAAGCAGTGATGAAATCGTTAAGTTCAGTGGGGGTGCAGCCAGAAGAGCGGGAAGAAAGTGAGAATGAGGAAGAAGTGGACAGTGCTGCTCTTAATCATTTGGAATCCTTACTAGACTATCTTAAGAGTGAAGAGAACAGTTTATTAAGTGACAAGCTAATATTACGTAGGCTCCGTACGGATATCCATAAAAAGGAAAATGCCGCAAAAAAGCAAATGACAATATTAGATTATTTTAAGTGTTAAGTGTGAATATCTGTAAAAAGTGTTGGATGCTGTTGAACATTGTGATTGAAATAACTAATTCATACTTCACTGTAATATAAAAAAAGAGTATTAAATAGGCCATGAGATGACATAAAAATGAGGTTGAATAAATTTAAATACAGGTATGCCTATAGTATTATGAAGGTACAGTATTACAGTACTACTTTTAATAACATTTGTCTTAACCGGGTTTTCGATTAATTGTGATTTCCATCCCCACCATTATCCCAGATAATTGAGAGCTGAGTGTATCTGGGACTTGTTCCACCATCTACGATCTATGGAATGATGGAATGCATGTCTACCAACCCAACCCTTAGTGCTATATAACTAAAACCTATAAACATTCATGTCCAACCTAACAAGGTCTAGGGATAAGGCATGGGAGTTTTGAAGAAGACTCGGAGATTATGATTACTTTCGTCTATAATCCATTTTTCAAACTGCTTTCTTAAAACTTAACGCAGAGCTTAGAAAGAACTGGTACCATGTCTGTAACAACTGGCAATGAGCAGTTTGACACGCCAGATCTGAGGTTCCTATGGCTGTGAATAATAATATTGGTCTTCTGGGGCTGACACCATGTAGTTTGGTAGATAGGTACCAACGTTTGGAATGAACTTGATGCCTCCATCTTCAGACTTATCCTGAAAACAGAGGTGGCACGTCCTTATGAAATGTTGGTACATATACTTCCAAGGCATTACAGTCCAGAAGGCAATAAGTTCACTCTGATACATACTTCTGTGCCCATGAAGTCCCACTACCTTGTTTTATACTGTGCTTTGTGGTAAAACTGTAATCATAGTCACCTAGCAAAAATATACAAAATAAATATTAAAATCTCCACAGTAAATAAACACAAGACCTAGAAAGAAGTTTATGATACAAAACAATTTAAGAATAGCTCATTAGTCTTTCTGAATAATGCATTTATATTAACAATGCTTTAAATAAACAAGATTCTCTTTTCTGTCCTCTGCAAACAAATAACAGAGAATAGAATTTATATTTAGATATGGTACGAAAGCTGCTGTGGCTTGATTCACTGTTGTACTAAAAGCAGCAGCATTTTTCGTTATCTCAGCCCCCGGTAATAAGTGAAATGTCATTCACATTTCTGCTCTAATCATACATACATTAATACAAATTCTTTCATACCCATACATTGTGAAAACTTCACTGCTAACCATCTGATCTGCCATGGTGAACCTTAGCCATTCTGCAGTATAGAAAGGGGTTGCACGGATGTTATTTCCATTAAACAACACATCTCAACATATTGCTTCATACGGTACATCAGTTAGTTTGAGACTTCATGTTAAAATCCATAATCTACATACCACAAATGCAACATTAAAGTATGTGGAAATTCTAAGTATGTTTACAAATGTTTCAACTATGAGTGGAAGCATGCAACACTTCAACCTTTTTTCCCAGCCTCCATTTTAACCCTTACACTGCTGCGGTCTGAAAAACATGGTGTCCTGGCTGTGATTGACAAAACCTGCACTGTGACTTTAAGAGTTTAAAATCTCAGGTTTCTTTGCACCAATCTCATTCAAACTTGGTGGGTGCATAGAGTCATCTGCTGGGAATGTAATGAAGCATCATTCATTTCAATGGCTGGATTTTTCTGCCTTCTAGCTTAAGAAACGTAAAAGGTTGCATCTGCACAGTGAGTCATGTGAAATGGGTATTTCACAGAGCTAGTAAAAATGGCTTCATATAGTGCGCGGTGCTTTCTATAATAGTTTTAAACGAAGTTGTAGACTTTAGTCAAGATGTGACATAGTGATAAGACTAGGATACCAAATTATGTACTTTTTTGGCCATCTTGGGCAACCCTGATTTAAATGCACTTTTCCCGTGAAAAATACTGAATAATTCAACATTTTTGCAACTTCTGCTGCCTGTTCCCTGTCTGAGGTAAGATAAGTTACATTTTATCACAAATTTTCATACTTTGCACTTATATTATTTACAAAAGATTTATTCAAAAATAATTCAGCACAGAGGGTACTGAGAGTTACTTAACATATTGTGACGTGTTGCGCTATGGAGGACACCCCCTCCCACCCCAGTGGTGACGTAACACAGGATGCTGCCATTGCTACTCAGCAGTAAACAACTCCTGACAGTGTTGCTAGGCTGTTGGCAAACATGGCGTCAGACAACACTGGTACCTATTATGTAACTGTTTTCCTGTTGTCGGGCTGAGGGTTTATAAGGGAACTACACAGCCACCGAAGATGGTTCTCAAGGCAGCAGCCTATGAGTTCAGTTGAGTTACAAGTTAGCCAGCAGTGAGTCAGTCAACCAGTCAGTTATAATACTGCAGACAGCAGTAGTTGTGAGATCGTAAACTGTGTGATTTTAAGAGCGAGTGTGAAATAAAATTCGCTATATCCAATATGGCGTGAAGTTCTTTGTCGCGTTACATACCCAACATGTGACAATTTGATGTCAGAAGTGGGATGCGAACTTAAACACGCCTTAAGTTACTGTTACAAGATGAAGAAACAAGATATGCAGCAAATAATCGACATGCTGGCAAAATTACTCGCCAACCAAGAAAAGGAAGAGGCCGATAGGAAAACCGAGAAGAAAGAAATGGAGGCAAATAGGAAGAAAGACAAAGAGGATATACTAAAAGAGATGAGGGCCTGGAGAGAAAAGTTGGATGCAGAAACAAGAGCAACCCAAGCAAGGATGGCACAACAAGAGGAGGTCCTCATTGCAATACTGGTCAAAGAGACGATGGCCTGCTGAGAAATGGAGGCACGTCCAGAAGAAGAAGAGCCAGCCTCAGTGGACAGGAAACCTGAGGCGGCAGAACTACGAGAGGTACCCCTACAAGACGCCGAAGTAATTCCAGTTGGAGAACCGAAGCAGAAAAAGCATAGGGACCAAAACAAGCGACGAAATATGAAGAATTTGACATGGGATAATTGTGGACCCCAGAAGAAGTTGGCCGTAGCCCGCAGAGGGAACGACCCGCTGTGCGAAAATGGAACGGCAGAAGGTAAATGTCGTTAGGAGAAACCGCACCAGGGCCATGATTCAGCGAGCAACCCAGAGAGTAGGGCCACTCCAGAAGAATTTACAGATGCACCATGAAGGAACAAAGGAACACGGCAAGGGGGCACTACATGGGAGGAAGAGGACAACCACGGACGGCATCTGGAAGTGGAGCCCGGAAGATTGAGCTTTTCTGGGAAGCGAAGGAACACCAAGGACAACCTTATATGAGATATACGGTCCGAAAAACACTTAAACGAATGCCCAAGACTTCCAGCAGGATGCGGAGAATCGTGGATTGGACTTTGTGGAGGGGACAACCCCCTCCAAAACGGAAAAAGAGACCTCAAGTAGAGGAGGAACCAGTAATGTAGAAGAACCGGCCTCCCAAGTAAGAGTGAATGTGCGACGAACGAGTGTGACACAACTGGATCTTCTGGCAACTTAGCAGGAAACCGCTCGAGATGAGCTGGTCTTAAGAGGAGAGTGGTTGTAACGGAAGGAGAATAGTCACTGCAAGTAGCTGAAATAACAGGAGACACAGAAAAGGAACGGGAGTGCACCGTTAGGATATTCGGGACGAACGGAGGGAGCAGTGTGATGTGTTGCACTATGGAGGACACCCCCTCCCTCCCCAGCGGTGATGTAACACGGGATGCCACCGTTGCTACTCAGCAGTAAACAACTCCCGACAGTGTTGCTAGGCTGTCGGCAAACACGGCGTCAGACAACAGTGGTGCCTATCACGTAACTGTTTTCCCGTTGTCCAGGTGAGGGTTTATAAGGGAACTACACAGTTGCCAAAGACAGTTCTCAAGGCAGCAGTCTATGAGTTGAGTTGAGTTGAGTTACGAGTTAGCCAGCAGTGAGTCAGTCAACCAGTCAGTTATAATACTGCAGATAGGAGTAGTGTGAGATTGTAAACTGTGCGATTTTAAGAGCGAGTGTGAAATAAAATTTGCTATATCCAATACGGCATGAAGTTATTTGTCGTGTTATACATCCAACACGTGACAATATTAGCAGCGAAAGGATTAATGGTCTTAATGATCAGCCATGATTTACTGAATATTTTGACTTGTTTGAACATGCTCGGAGGCTTCGTAGGTGCTAATATACACATACACGTATATTCATTAATCTGTGCAAGTAATGACACAAAATGAAAGTAAACAGAAGTCTTAGGTGTTCCTCAAAAATTGACAAGTCGTAAGAAACTAAAACTGTCAAAACTATTCTCTTCAATTTGAAATAAACATTAGATGAATTTACAGCTACAAAGTTACGGCAGAATCTACAGAACAGAAAAGGTACACCATGCCTGAAGGTATAACATCAGTTCATGTTACACACTATCATGCTTTATTATACAGTAAACTCCCTGTTATCCCGCATCCAGGCTTCTGGAATTCTCATCCAACAAGGAAAAATATCAAAGAAAATTTACCATTTTTATAAAGTCATTCAAAAACAAACCTGCACTGTGCAAATATTCACCTACCACACTGTATCCTCCCAGCTGCCACTAACAGCACTACCCATCAACTTTCCTCATGCAGGGGCCGCTAGCAGAATCTGTGACTTAGTTACAGTATACATATATCTCAAATCTTCCACCCACAAATCCGTTGTCTCACATAGGAAGACTCATATGTAAGAATTAAAGTGAAAACATGTCATTTTCACCATTTACTGTGTTTCTGTGTGCATTTTCATCATGCAACTGGCAGATTCATGTAACCAGCACACCACAATCCATAAACACAGTGGGTAACAGGGAATTTACTGTTTTATGAAAACATAAGCATATTATTTTAATTTGTTTATGCACATTCTTACAAGTGACCACTACCATCTATAAACCTATGGGAACAAAAGGATGGTTGTAAGGATATACTGGAGAACTGTATACAGAGAAATTCTTGCAACTCCTTAAATACCATGTGACAAAACTAACCACTCAATGAAGAATGAATACTGGACTACTGACACTTCTTACAAGAGTTAAAAAATCTGAGCGTATGAAACAAAACATTTTGCAATAAGAAGTTATTATTTCCACACCAGAATAAAACAATGGCTTCTCAAACTCTTGCCAGTTTTGGCAACATTTTTTTACAATATAATGCAGTGGGTGTTGGACATAAAAAGTACTGATAATCCCGCAGAATATGTTGATATTTTCCATTCGCTGAATGTGTACTACAGCTTCCGTAACTTCCACTTTTACCCCACATTAGACATTCATCCACCTTATTAACGTAACAAATTAAACAGGTTGGTTGTCAAGAGGGTAATTAATGGTACTGAAGAAGATCCAAAATGTTCCATGGATATTACTATTTATTATTTTAAAAGATCGGACATTTAACAAGGAATCAGTAAACAATTAAATGACTTCCTTATAGCCTTTCACCCAAATGACAGTTTACTACCAGTTTCCATCATCAAATAAAACATATATTCTGTAGAATGTTTACACTTAAGTGTTAATGAACTTACTGAATGCATTTCTTGTCTCAAGACCATGAAATTAAATACTAAAATAATATGAACAATTAATATTGTCCTGCATGTACTTACTGACACATTCTGCACGAAGCATACGTCAGAACTCCACTCCTTTAAATGCAAGCCATGCTTCGTGTCACAAGTTATATTACGATATAAAAGAAACTCATATATATATATATATATATATGTAGCAGATCTTTTGCTTGTGGAATAAATATTTCAAAGTTTTACAGAAAAATAACTTTGAATAAAGTAAACCTTGTGGCCCCCAGTTCTTCTCTAGCAAGTAAAGGCAATCTTATAAACTAGCTTAGCTAAGCTTTCCGCTGGAGGCACTCCCGAGACGGCTAGTTACCTCTCTCAATAACTTTAACCCCTTGTTCTCAAAAGTCAGCGGCTCATCATATCTTCTCCTGGATAAATGGATGTGTCAGGGCCTGGTTGATTGCAATGCGTTTTGACGAGTCCAACATCAGGATTCTCTCCAGGAGGTCCTTGAGCTGATTAACTTTCCTGGCTTGATCTTCTGGAAGGTTCTGGTTACCGATCAGCTCGGACAGCAGATCTCGGGATGGGTTCAACGTTGACATTACTACTACTTTCTCCTGCAACAATGACACTCCACGATTACACATTAAGATTGCTTTCTTCATGGGTGTGTACCAAAGAGCATAGCATTCAGGTGGATCACAAAATCACTGTATTAAAACAAAATTTAAATATAACAAAAAATGTTTAAAATGCGTGGAAATTCATGTGAGCTATACCATCACTAAAAATGTACTGGCGGATTTTGCCACTGTAGTTATTTAAATGTTCCGGAAGAGGTATAAATGCACACCAAATCTTTCAGATCTGAAGTGAATAAGCAAAGCAAATGAGATCAGCAATTTCCATGAAGGTGAATATTAAAACCCCTGGGGTCGACCCAGCCTCTAACAGAAATGAGTACCAGGAATATTCTTGGGGGTAAAGGGCGGCCAGCACATAGGGCTAACAACCTTACTGCCATCTATGAGCTGACTGTCTAGAAAATGTGGGAACCTCAACACAACCCTATGGGCCTCCACAGCATGTTACAGGGATACATTTACTTCTTTTTTTTAATATTGAAACTGTGGTCTTCTGGGATGTGATGCCAACAACAGAAATTTCTAGCGCAAAAAGTAGGAAATTGATCCTGAATGGTTAAACCAAAGTTACACATTTACTAACACATGGATCTCTACTTCCCTTATTCAAAATACAAAAACATCCAACATTAAGAATATACCGAATCTGAGAAGCTCTAACAACCATAGTTCATGAAAACTGTAACAACTAACAACAGAGATTACTCGGGATTGCTGGGTTTCTGGACTTTGTCCATCGTACAGTATTCTAAAGAAAATATTGTGTCAGAAACTGGATCTGTTTCCATCCTCAGGTTGGGGTTGGGGACACCTACTCTGATGGGCCTGTTAGGAAAAGCTAACCTAGGACCAGTGATTGAGGTTGGCTATTTCTAACGGACCCAACAGAGCAGTGTCTCCCACCTCTTTACCAGGAGATGGAAACAGATCCAGTTTCCAAAATGTTTTGCTCTTTAGAATACCAGACGCTGGACAAAGTCCAAAAACCCAGTAATCCCAAGTGTTATACACCATTTTCAGAACCCTTCAAAATCTGATATAAAGACCACTGTCTGTGGATTTACGAGGGTTGGAACTTTAATAGTGGCAACACTGCTGTACAGACGCCATGCAACAGAACCAAATAATGTCGCTTATACCACACGTTAGGTACATACCTACCTTACCTCAGAGCAAATGCTCTCTCCCTTCCCACATCACGCGCATGCGCGGTGACGAGAAGAACAGAGCCTCGTGTTAGCTGGCGGTCAGCGGCCTCCGTAGTCTAGAGGTAACGTTCCCACCTCATGACTCGTAGTACGCGGGTTCAAATACCCGGTGGAGGTCGTCGAATTTTTAAGGGCACAAAAATTCAGGGAACAAGTCCTCCGGGAGGGACTTTAAGCCGTGGGTCCCGTGTCGTAGCTTTACGGCACGTAAAAGAACCTCATATCTCCAAAGGAGGTCACTGAGCCAAATTAACGGACGTTTCCTGCCCAACAGCAGTCTCTAATACCTCTGGTAGATGGGGGAAGCATTATAGATGAGAGCCGGTCTCGCTGGCTGGGCGGGACTGATGGTAAGCACCACTACCGGTAGGATATAGACTGGTAGAAATCATAGAGGGAAGTACAATGGACCAATACAGGTCTCAGTGCATGGGGAAACCCACCCTCTCCAATAACTAACTAACTAACTAACTAACTAACTAACTAACTAACTAACTCGCTGGCGGTCTAATGTAGGGTTGTCACACTGTCTTTGAAAGAGGAACAACGGAGCTGGTTAAAGACTGAATGTTCCAGAGGCCGTACAGCACGATAGTGTCATCAAGGTCTTCAAGAGGCTTGCGGGGAATCTACATTGCCTTACACAACAGTGGCAAGGAGGATAGAAGCCTTCAATGAGGGACGCCAAAATGTGGCAGACATGCATCGGCCAGATTGTCCTAATGTCAGTGAAGAAGAAGTGTATGCTCTTTCCGCGTTACTGGAGAGTGATCCCTAACAGCAGACTGTCAATGGGCAATATTACTGTTCATTTTTTGAACATAACCTGTGACCAACTTTGAGAAAGAAGCAGCGACACTTTCTGCAGAACCCACCCATCTTTTGCAGGACAATGCTCAGCTGCATGCAGCACAACCTGTGGCTGCTTTGTTCAATCGATGGGGCTGGGAAGTGCTGTACCATCCACCATACTCCCCGGACTTAAGTCCTTGTGACTTCGACTTGATTCCTAAAATGAAGGAACCACTTCTTGACATTCGCTTCAGAACTGTTCCAGAGATTCTTCAGGCAGTAGACCGCTCCATTCCAACTATCAACATAACAGGCGCTGCTAAAGGTATCCTACGACTTCCACATCGCTGGCAATGGGTTGTACACAATGCTGGTGACTACAGTGAAGGACAGTAGAACTTCGAAACATGCATCTATTTTGTATCAGTGTAAATAAATAGTTGCTGCTATTAAAGTTCCAACCCTCGTATCTACTGGTAGAAGTAGTGCTACTTCCAACTGGCACGTGCAGCACTTTGATAGTGCAATGTGCCATCATAATCTTATGCTCACACAACAAACCTATTTATGATAGCATCCACTGAAATCACAGAGCGAAACACTTACTCTTTCAGTTACTTTATCGACTTCATGATATAAGAAATTGCAGTTGCTGTCAAAATGTTGTTCCTTGAAAGATCCTTTCCTTATAATTTTGTTTGGCATCTTCCCTTTTAAGTCCATGAAAAATTTCAACATCTGAAAGCACACATCAACAATTTAATTCTCTGAAGCATGAAATTCATCTAGATAACATTTATAAATTAAGTCCTGACCTCTCAGATTTTCTAAAACAATCAAAATAAAAAAATGGTATTCTAGTCCCCAAAGGCAGAGAATAAAGCAAATATAGAATTATAAAATGATTTGACAACACTGTCCAGTGTGATTCAGTATATATTTACATAGTGTCTTTACGTGTTTCGGTCAGTTGTGAAAATATCTTCAGAAGGTAATAACGTGTTAACACTTTGCTGACCGCGCACACATTCGTACATTTTTCGCTTTTAAACATGGCGGACCGGTAGCGTATTAATATGTTTTTAGAACATGGTAAGTTGCAACACAATATACATAGCTTTGGCGCCACCTATATTGCATGCAACTGCCTGCAGATGCGTGATAAGACTCTGGAATGTTTAGTTAGCAGTCAGTAACTTGACCTCGCTGTTTACTTAACCGATTATAAAGGAAAATGCTTTGCTTTCTTCAAGCTGTGTGTATCAGCCAGTAGCTAGTGGAGAGAATGGATCAAGGACAAATTCTCCTCCGATGACCTAGCTGACCTGCCTTGTGAGACGTGTAGTAATGGATTGTCATTCAGACAGCAACAGTGACGGGGGACAACAAAGAATTGTGGCCACAGACAGTAAAAGTGACAGTAGCTCCGACGATAATGCGGGTAATAACATTGCACGTAGTAACATTGCGGGGACAGCAAAAAATCTAAACCCTGATTCAAAATTGAAATACAAAGCATTTCTGATGAATGTGGCAAAGGCCTGGACTACAGTCCAGATGGTGGTGGCAGAACCAGGGTCACACAAAGACTTAGTACGACTGGGCCCATAACTCCCACCCCACGAAGGCCTCATGTGGACCCCCCAGGGCGACTCTCGAGTGATATGCCGAAAAATACCCTCATGAAAATTGTGAAGAGCGAACACTCCAAAGGGAAGAATCCTTCTAGGCAATACCGTGTTTGCACAATTCACAAAAAAAGGAGTATGTCTACATCTGCAAGTTCTGTGTAATGCCACTTCACAAAGGGGAATGTTTCCAAAAATATCACACCCTCAAGCACTTCTAGGAGCATTGGTAAGTGTTCTCCAAAAGTTTTAGTTCAAAAAATTAATTAGGAGATTTTATATTAATTTTTAAAGTAAACAGTGCACAAGTTAGGGTAGTATGTTTAAAAATGCCGGTCCCCAGGGTGATTTAAATATTTAAATCGCCAGTCTGCGAAGTGTTAAGGAACTACTATTACATATATCACAGTACATAAGTTTATAGTTTTGTATGAAGATTTTTAATTAAGTTAATGGGTGTTTAATTTAAAAATAAATTATTAATATTCTTAATATTTAAAATCTTGAAATGCTGAGGTTTGGTGTCTCTGTGCCTCTTCTGCAAAAATGGGAGATTGCCATGTTATTTGGCGTCCTCTGAGGTCTAGACAGTGTTTCTCTTTTCATTGTGTACTGAGGCACTATTGCCAAATCATTTTATAATAATTAACTAGTGTGACAGACCAGAATGAATAAAATTAAACAAATATATAATCCTTCAAAATACATTTTTCTATTTCCAAATAAATCCCATACAGTTTATTTACCATAGAATTTAATATCTGAAAAATATCAACTTATCAAACAAAAACATTGTTCTCTTGAGAAAATATTCTGACCATTTAACTAAAAATGAAAATACTGAGCCTGACTAAATAACTGTTCTGAAGTTGACAAATTCCAGTGAATCTATTCAATTAGGCGGTCACTGTTCATAATGCTGCCCCTACTACTTCCTGCAAAATACATTCAAGTGTTATACACGATGTAAAGAAATGAAGTGGAAAGTTAATACAAACAGACGCTCAAGTTCACGTTGAAATGTACAGCTGCAAAAATATATTGTAAAGAGAAATAAGGAGAATTTCAGGCAGTGTTTGCAACATGTACACATCAACACCAGTAAAATGAATAAAATTTTGTACAATAAATCTTAAGTACGGCAAATATGATTTCATCTTCTATGACTGCGAGGTCCTGGCTGAATTAAAATTTCATTGCTTGGGAACCTGTTTCATGAGGCCCCATTAAGGTCCTGCGTTTCATTCAAAAGGCTAAACTTTTGAAAGAACATATACACACAACAGATCATAGTGGCTGCAATGTAAGATTATTTAATCTAATGCCCATAGTGTACATCAGATGGTTGTGGCACTGGAGACATTTAAAAGAGCAGTGCTTTAATCTGTGCTATTCTAAGTATCATTCATTGTTCCCTAATTTTTACATTACTGCTCCTCAATGTAAGATTTTCTGCTCTGTAACATACAATTTCAATGGCCATAATGTGTTGAAATCTCCACATACAAGATTTTTCTCAATTTAGTATTCAAATCCATCACTCCCCAACGAAACCTTAAATCAGGGTTACATTGTGATGTAATTTCTATTGGATATGATGTAAGATAACACTATACTATGCACAGGCACTATTACAAAATTTTATGAAATGTCAATATCATCTTACCTGATTATTGGTTTTTCCAGAAAACATTATTTTCCCAGTATACAATTCATAAATGGTGCAACCCGCTGACCACATGTCAATACCAAAATCATATGGAATGCCTAAAACTGAAAACAGCATGTTACCTTAACAGCCACTTTACTGATGGTGTAAGGTATCCTACCCTGAAATCCTACATGGAGTACAGAACATCGTCTTAATGAACAAATGAGCAAACATTAAACAAAGGCTTCAATATAATGCTTACGTCTTGCAACTATACATCCACACTTAATCACAACACATTTTGTAAATTCAGTTGCTGACGTCACTTTGAGTGCCACTTGTATGATCTGATGACATGACAGTAAGATTCATAATGCAAATGGCAGTCATTTAACAACTGTGATTTACAAGAAACTGAAGGTGGCTAGCCAAGCCAAAACATGCCTGCAAGTCAAGTTACAAAAATCAAATTGCAAAAAAATGTAAGACTGACAATTTCAAGGAAAAGATATAAAACATAAAATACCAGATTAAGATGAGGACAAGTTCAATGATCACTGAATTAGTTGCTTTACAAATAGGAGTTGATTTCTGATTAAGATTATTCTTTTTGACTATGTCCATTGGCCTAGTTTCTTTGTAAGCCTCTACTTTTCAAAAACTGGCTCCATTTCCATCCAGTGAACAAATTACCTACTTTGTTCGGTACTTAAAAAGAGCTCTCCTCAAACCATGGAGCAACTCTACCCGAAGAGGGATATCCGGAAAGTAAAGATACAAGTCCGGTAAGAATGCAAGGGACATTATTTTTTCCAGAAATGGCAGTGCTGCCATGTGAGATAGGAACAGTATGACACAGCTGAGTTCACTGGCCACAGTCATGGCAACGCTGTGCTCGCAGTGTGCTTTCAAACTGGCAGTGTAGATTCAAAATCCCGCCAAATGTAAGGTTCGTGCAGTAATTTGATTTCTTCACGTGAAAGGAGAAACTGCTGCTGATATTTATCACCAACTTGTTTCCGTTTACGGCGAAGATGTTATGAACAGGCAAAATGGCATTGTCAAATTGAAATGGGGAGAAGTGATGTTCACGGTTAAATAAGGAGTGGAAGGCCATCTGTTGTCACCAGTGAAATCATCTAAAAAATTGATGAAAGCATTTGTGCTGACAGATGTTTTATCATCAAGAACTTCATCAACAAAGTCCAGAAGTGTCGAGAACTGTTCTCCATGGCCAAGAGAGCTGGTGGGAGATTTCAAGGATGCTGGAATAAAAAATATCATTCCCAGGCTCACTAAGTGCATTGCAATCCATGGTGCCTATTTTGAAAAGTAAATAAAGGTGTGTTTTATAAGTGCTACAAGTGAATAAAAGAAAACTTCACAAATATTTTCTGGGCTTTCTATCTTTACTTTCTGGATATTCCCAACAGCAGATTTTCTGTTTCCCCAACAAAGGAAACACAACCAGGTTTTAAAATAAAGTAACTAAAACAAGTTTGGGATGATGGACAAAACCCAAAAGAACAGTGTCTCATGCCATTATCGAAAAACTCTGAATAAAGTTGCTAATGCTTAACACATACACACTGAAATTAAGCAACATACTGTTATGCAAACTTACTTATTTCTGGGGCTCTGTAGAAACGACTCACTAAATATGGGGTGATCTCATTTTCAGCCACATGTGATGCAGAACCAAAATCACAAAGTTTGAGAACAAGTTTACTCTCACTGACCTACAGTTCAAAGAATAAAACATGTATCAGGAACACACGTCAGTCTACATAAAGTTAGCAATCATACCAAATGAGCAGATTAAGTAAAGTAAAGTAAAGGTATCCCTGTAACAGGGTGTGGAGGCCCATAGGGTTGTGAGACGTTGAGGTTCCCATATTTTCTAGACAATCGGCTCATAGATGGCGGTAAGGTTGTCAGCCTTACGCACCGGCCACCCTTTACCCCCAGGATGATTCCTGGTACTCATTTCTGTTAGAGGCTGAGTCGACCCCAGGGCCACAGTGCAACTGGAAGGATTAGGCCAATTGAGAAAAATCCAGTGACCTCATCGGGATTCAATCCCACGACCTTCTGGCTTGTAGCATAGTACCTTAACCAACTACGCTACCGCGTGCCCCCAAATGAGCAGAATAACCACTATTATATGTTGTGTAAAGTTCCCTATATAGAGAATAACTGAGAAATACCTCATATATAATTTTTTAAACAGGTTATGTACAATATAGTATAATTATAGTCCTTCACTCTAACAATTAATAAAGTCCATAATAATGCATTTGGGAAAAAATTTCATTATATTCATGATAAACGTGGTGCTATCAAAAAGTTCCTGAAATTTGAATTTTGCGCGCAAACGGTTATGAGCACATTGAAATAGCGCTAGCTGTCTCCCCACACACCCTTCTTGAATCAGTGTGGAAAGCGGCGTTGAGGTGAGTGGCAGGGTTTATTGTTGGTGAACATATTTCCATTGTTGTGTTTCCGTGAGTTTGCGGTTTTGCAATGACTGACCTGAGAGAGCAGCGTGTCTGTATAAAGTTTTGTTTTAAACTTGGAAAAACCACTGCAGATACGCACCAAATGTTGAAGCAAGCTTTTAGTGACAACAGTTTAGGCCAGACACAACCTTACGACTGGTATAAGCATTTCAAAAATGGCCAAACATCAACTGGTGATGATGATCGTTTGGGACGGCCGTCAACTGGCACCATACCAGAAAATGTCATGAAAGTTAGGATCTGATTCTGCAAGATCATAGACTGACCATCCAAGACCTCTGTAACACCTTGGGACTAAGTTATCGTACATGTCAATGAATTTTGTCAGAGGAACTGAACATGAGGAGGATTGCGGCAAAGTTTCTGCCACGACTGCTGCAAAATGAACAGAAGGAGCATTGCTTGGAAGTCTGCAGGGAACTTCAACAACAGCTTCAAGAGGATCCAAATTTTCTTTCGAAAGTTGTTACTGGAGACAAAAGTTGGGTTTATAGGTACGACCCCGAAAGCAAGCAGCAATCGTCGCAATGGAAGAGCCTTCTTCACCTTGGCCAAAAGAAGTTCGACAAGTCAAGAGCAACATTTAGTTCATGTTGATCTGTTTTTTTGATATTGACAGGATTGTTCATAAGCAGTTCATCCCTCCTAGTCAGACAGTCAATAAAGACTTCTATCGCGATGTTCTAAGGTGTCTGAGGGAGGACATGAAGAGAAAACATCCAGAGAAGTGGCGCACGAACAACTGGGTACTCTACCATGACAACACACGACCACATACAGCTTACATTGTGCAGGAAGTTTTGGCTAAAAACAAGATGGCAGTTGTTCCCCACCCACCGTACTCGCCAGACTTATCTCCATGCGACTTCTTTCTCTTCCCCAAGATGAAAATCAAGTTGAAGGGCCGAAGATTTGATACAGCTGAGGAAATTCAAGCGGAAACGCAGACGGTACTAAACACCCTAACAAAGAAAGACTTCTAGGATGCATTTCAAAAGTGGCAGAAATGCGAGGATTGGCGTATGCGCTCACTTTGAACGTGATGGTGCAGAATAAGATCTGGGTAAGATGTATAGTTTTTATTAATATATTTTGGGAACTTTTGGATACCACCACGTAAAATGTATAACTAATTAAGATTAATGACTTTTATTTTATATATTTACTAATATGGTGAATAACAACATTCAAAGAAACCAGCAGAAAGAGGCAGCAGTTGTTGCCTGCACACAAGCTGCAATTGTCAATAAAACTACCAACTCGATCCAAAATCTTTGGTTTAGAAAGCAGTAACATAGATGATTAAGGCACTATGCTACAAGCCAGAAGGTCACAGGTTCAATTCTCAATGAAGTCATTGGATTTTTCAACTGACCTAATCCTTCCAGCCACACTATCGCCCTTGGGTCGAGTCAGCCTATAACAGAAATTAATACCACGAATCTTTATGGGGGTAAAGGGTGTACGGCTGGTGTGTAAGGCTGAAAATCTCACCACCATCTGTGAGCCGACTGTTTACAAAATGTGTGAGCCTTGACGTCTCATAATCCAATGGCCTCCACGACCTGTTACAGGGATAGCTTTACCTTCATCTTACCAACTCCTCACCTTGACACATTATACAACCCCCTCCCCCAGTGCTATCAATTTCAAAACTACAAGAAACTGTGCTACATGTACAGTTATGCTGGAAAACATTGAAACACTATGCAGAAATGGACTTACACCTCAAAAAACGAATATCAAGGCAAATGAGATATATAAATTTATCCCTGTGAGGAGAGTATACATGAATACTAACCAAAATGTTATCGGGCTTGATGTCAGCATGAAGAATATTAGCCTTCTTTAATAATTTCAAAGCCAGAAACAGCTGCTGACTGTATGACCTCACTGCTTTCACATGCAGTCCAACATCTTTCCCATATTTCTTCAAAACCTGTAACCAAACACAGCCATTAGACACGGACAGAAACAAATACCAATCTGTTCATTAAGAACAACATACAAGGTCGAGGAAATAAGCTTCAAGACTCCTTTTAATTTCACGCTGGGAGATCTGGCAATGCTGTTACCTGGAATGTTAGGCAACACAAGAAGACAGAGCTCATATGGAAAGTGTGGATAAGCTGTGTTCAGTATTCACTGAATAGTAGATCATTAGATCACTGTGTCATGAAACTTTGTCCAGACATGAAAATGGAGAGTACTATGGAACAGAGAGTGAATGCAAAATTTTGTGTTAACCTTTAACGACCGCATGTTATATATATGGCGAAAGCAGCACCCCAAGCTGGTCAAATGTTATATATATATATATATATATTGTAACGTGTCTGGAATCCAGAAGAGTCACTTCTATGGAAACGCTAGAATAGACCGTTGCATAGGAAACAACAATCGCTCCATTGTAGTTCTAACAGGAGTCTCCATGGTTATAACAGAGGGTTCGTTGCATAGCAGCGACCAAGGTTATATAGCGGGGTTGAATGCATTCGCACAGTCAGTCTTAGAACAACCGCCAGAGAAGACAGTCCAGTATCAGCCGAGATATTGTAAGCAGTAATTGTAACACTGCAAGTGATGACAATTGTAAAGCGCGTGAGTGTATAAGTGAAGAACAATAAAGGTTCTACAGAATCTGAGACCCACAGGAATTTATTTGTAGCGTGACACACAAAGCACGCCACAA